AATATATATTATGGCATACACTATTACCTACTGTAAAAATATATACTATGGCATACACTATTTGCTACTGTAGAAATATATATTATGGCATACTCTTTTACCTACTGTATAAATATATACTATGGCGTACACTATTACCTACTGTAGAAATATATACTATGGCAAACACAACTACCTACTGTACAAAGATAAACTATGGCGTACACTATTACCTACTGTACAAAAATATACTATGGCAAACACTACAACCCACTGTACAAAGTTATATTATGGCGTACAGTATTACCTACTTTAGAAATATATACAATGGCGTACACTTTTACCTACTGTACAAATACATACTATGGCATACACTATTACTTACTGTAGAAATATATACTATGGCATACTCTATTACCTACTGTAGAAGTATATACTATCGCATACACTATTTCCTACTGTAGAAATATATACTATGGCATACACCATTACCTACTGTAGAAATATATAGTATGGCAAACACTATTACCTACTGTAGAAATATATACTATGGCATACACTACTACCTACTGTGGAAATATATACTATGGCATACACTATTACCTACTGTAGAAATATATACTATGGCATACACTATTACCTACTGTAGAAATATTTACTATGGCAAACACTACTACCTACTGTACAAAGATAAACTATGGCGTACACTATTACCTACTGTACAAAAATATACTAGGGCAAACACAACTACCCACTGTACAAAGACATACTTTGGCATACACTATTACCTACTGTAGAACTATATACTATGGCATACTCTATTACCTACTGTAGAAATATATACTATGGCATACTCTATTACCTACTGTAGAAATAGGTACTATGGCATATTCTATTACCTACTGTAGAAATATATACTATGGCATACTCTATTACCTACTGTAGAAATATATACTATGGCATACACTATTTCCTACTGTAGAAATATATACTATGACATACACTATTACCTACTGTAGAAATATATATTATGGCATACACTATTACCTACTGTAGAAATATATACTATGGCATACACTATTTCCTACTGTAGAAATATATATTATGGCATACTCTTTTACCTACTGTATAAATATATACTATGGCAAACACAACTACCTACTGTACA